AACCTACTGGCGAATGTGAGCGCGCGGTGAGATGCGTCGGCCTAGCGGCCCTGCTCGAGGCGGTGTTCGGCGAGGAATAGAATGGCGGTGCGGGGCGAGGAGTAGGGTGGCGAGGCGCGCCGCTGCCCGTCCGCCGCTTACGCGACCGCTCGCACGTCTCCCCGCGCGGGGCCACTAGGCGTCCGCATCTCACTGCGCGCTGACATTCGCTAGTAGGTTGGGCTAATACGGCGATTTTTAAAATTTCGTATCTCGATAACTATTCGTCCAAGCGCAAAATAGTACAATACTTTTCTGTTTGTCTTAGTCCCCTCTACCTTCCCATGACCGGACGTCAAAGTCTTGCGTAGCACCCTGTATATCGCCCGATTCTACGTAATTCATTGCTAACTATAATAAGTGATGTTATAAGCTATAACTTGCTGACTGATTGAAAAAACGTGTGAGTATAACGGGTGTGCACCCACCTGTCTTTTTACCTATGTAGCACAACAACCTGTTATTTCGAAAACTTTTTTACTACTTCGCCTGATGTGGCACTAAAAACTTGAAACCGGGGGGTGAATATTTAAAACACTTTGTTGCAAGTTGATCGGTCAATACTTCCGAATAACGGCGTAAAGAGCGTGCGCGCGAGACGACTTCTGATGCACACGAGATAACTTTCTGGAAAAGAAACAGATGCCAGTCTTCAGAAAACCTTCGACATGGACAGTTCGAAACACGCCAAGGTGTATACCAAGCATACCAAGGTACTTGTCATTGCGATTGTCATGGAAAAGACAGTTATACTTTATGATCAATCTATTTATTAACTTATGATAAGGGATGATAAGGGATGACATATAATCTCCACTTTATTGTTGCGTTGTTATTAGAAGTACTGCATCATGTTTTCATTGTGTATTATCACATTTAATTATAAAGGGTGTCTCAGTAAGAACTTGAATTTTGAATCGCACGCCAATTCCGTCTGTCAATTGTTGAGTCAGCCATATTTGATATTTGTTTACTTAAAACAATGACATTTACAAAAATAGTGCGTTACAGCTTAGAAGAACGTTTAAAGCTTAGAAGAATGTTAATAGTGAAAATGGAGAAAATTTTACTGTTACGATTCGTAAGTTACGTGATCATTTCGACGTGCATAATCGACCGTCGAGACCTGCTATTGAAAATTTGATCAAGAAATTTGAGCGGACGTTTTCATTGAAAGATGAAAGAAACCTTATCCGTTATCGGCCCAAAAGATCGGCAGGAAACATCGCAGCTGTGAGTGTCAGTGTGGCAGAACGACCAAATACCTCCATCCGACATCGTAAAATTTTGTCAAAAGAGTACATTCCTGCCAACAGAGCAACGGTGGTCATTTAACCGATATTTTGTTTCATGTGTAAATGTCATTACTACCTCAGTACATATCAAGAAAAAAATGTAAATAAAACATTAAATTAATATATTTTCTTAAGTTTTTAAAATTCAAGTTCTTGCTTAGACACCCATAGTAATAAACATTAGCCTTTCATTATCATAAATATTTAAAATAGTACATTTTGTATTGTCTGCAATTCACTATTTCTGAAATAACCTTTGAAGTACATGATTATTGAAAAGTGTGTGGCCCTTCAAATATTTTTTATTTAATGTTATATTAAGCATATCACTTAACACATTTTGCATTAATTGGTAGTTTATATGTATGCGTAAAGTTCTATAAAATATTTCATGAGCTGTGACTTATTTTTGCAGGTAGATTTCGAATGGGCAGTAAGACTAAATCGTATCGCTTTAGATTTTATTGGACTCTGGCCTAAAACCGCACAAAACACTCGACAGATGTTAATGTGTAATTTTCGGGTGCTCATCATATTCCTGGGGTTAACAGTTGGCATTCTGATTCCTGCTGTACATTCATTAATAAGAATTTCGGGAGATATCATGCTAATAATGGACAATTTACTATTCACATTACCGGGCATTAGCTGCGCGTTAAGAATCGGAATTTTTTGGTGGAAAAAGGAAGGTAGACATAATTATAAAAGTCGTATCGTTAAGAAATAAAACGTGATAAAGAATATATCTACAAATAAAGTTTATTTATTCATTTAAATAAAGTTGTTACATGTTAGCTCTGTAAACAATAAGAAATTTAAAATGAAAAAGTTAATATTACTTTTGTCATATTTTTTTACAGCAAAAATACTACTTAAAATTTTTTTATTGTTTAGTTAACATAGCTTTATTTAAATGTAGCTATATTAGTTAGTTTGCACTTAAATATTTAATGTTGACACTTTTAAAGCTACCATACCAATCATAAACATGATCGCAGAAGATTGGCTAAGATTGAAAAGTCCTCAAGATAGAAAAATTATGATTAGACAGGCGAAGATTGCACGCATTATTATTACTTGCGGGTTCTTGCTGATGGGATTAGCGTGCACCTTTTCTATTATTCTCCCGCGTCTTGGTATATCAGTCAGATTGTTATCCAATATTACTGATCTTATTGGCAGACCTATGATTGTACAATCGTATTATATTTACGATATAACAAAACGGCCGCTATACGAACTGACATATACAATTCAAGGTGTCTTCATAGTTTTTTCAGTCATAGGTTATTCTGGAATCGACAATTTTCTCGGATTACTAGTTTTCCATATATGCGGCCAATTGGATATTCTTAAAAATCGTCTGACACGTCTAGATAAATATGTCAAAACTCAAGATACGTTAAAGAGCTGCGTGATAAGACACACTCGTTTAATTAAGTATGACATATTTTTATAAAATTTTACAAATAATTTGTGCGACGTGTCTGTATTATTAATATACTTAATACGACAAGTATGTTTTATAGAGCTATTGAGATTATTGAAGATACGTATAACATAATACTACTAGTATTATTGGTATACTTTGCACTGCTTTTCGCTTTCCTCGGTTTCCGAATAATTAACGTGAGTGTGGAAACATTTAAAGATAAAAATTTGTTTATTAACTGTCACGCAAAAAGAAGTATTACAAATTATTAACATACTTATATTTCAGTATTACTACATTTATATGATGTATTATAATAAATAGCTAAAATTATGTTAACTGTAAAATACTGTATACTCTTAAATGTATACAGGGTGTC